GAGTATACTAACATTTCAAAGTCTCCGTGAAGACACCACTGCCGATTCTCAAGAATCAGCAACTCAAACCCAGGCTCTCCAAGCCCGTTCCTTTTCTGACAAAATCAGTTATGCTTTCCAACTCGCCACTGCCCAAGGACCTCTATGCAATGAACCTATCCAAGGTATCGCTGTTTTCCTCGAAGAGGTCACCATTGCTCCTTCCACCGACGAAGAATCATCTACCCGTGATAACTTTGGTAGATTGACTGGTGAAGTGATCAAAACGGTTCAACAAGCTATCAAACAAGGTTTCTTGGACTGGTCCCCAAGACTCATGCTTGCCATGTACTCTTGTGAAATTCAGGCTAGCAGTAAGTTACTTCCGCAAATCGTAAATCAATCAATATTTTGGAAGAAAATCAGATAGACTAACACAAACAACAGCCGAAGTCCTCGGTCGCGTCTACGACGTGCTCACCCGTCGTCGCGGACATATTCTCTCTGAATCCCTCAAAGAGGGTACTCCCTTCTTCACCATCGTATCGCTTCTTCCCGTCGCTCTCTCCTTTGGTTTCTCGGATGAAATCCGCAAGAGAACATCCGGAGCAGCTAGTCCGCAACTCATCTTCCAAGGATACGAGGTATTAGATGAAGATCCGTTCTGGACACCATTCACGGAGGATGATTTGGAGGATTTGGGAGAATTGGCGGATAAGGAGAATGTGGCGAAGAAATATATGGATGGCGTGAGGAAGAGGAAGGGATTGAGGGTTGAGGGCGAGAAATTGGTTAGGGATGCAGAGAAACAGAAGACGTTGAAGAGATAGGGGTATTGTGAAGTTTGGTGGGGAAGATGCTCAAAGAGGTATATGAGGTCATCCTTTTTTGTAGTTCATATATTAGATATATAGAATTAGTTTTCTGTTCTTGTTATGTTGAAGAGATATACCTGTATTTTGTTCACAAGCTAAATGTGTGTCTGTATGAGTGAAAATGTTCTCGTTTTTAATGCATAGTATTATATGATTTTTACCTTAAACGGGGCGAAGGGAGGATAATGGGGACAGATTTTTCTTTTTCGGTATTATTACAATTTTAATTGGCCTTTCGCTATATACTGTGCGCCTTATCTTATCCAATATTTACGCTTATGTACTTTTTATTTCCCCTCTAATCCATTTCGACTTATCCATTGTTTAATGTTCAAATGTTCAATCGAAAAAGCCTTCCTATGTACCTCATAAAGGTGGCAAGCCTTCCCTACAAATCGGACATTGCAAGCGATACTTCATCCAACCCACCAAACACTGAGTATGGAAAACATGTCTACAAGGCGTCACCATATAACTCCTCCTATCCCACGCCCCCAACACACCCTTTGCGCCCTCCTCTTCTCCTATCCCCACAACCGGAACCTCAAGGATCTGCATACATATCGCGCAATCCACTGTCCTAATCCCCGCTTTACTATCTCTCTCATCCGCACTCATATCTGTTTCCTCAAATCCTGGAGTTGTAGGAGAACCCAATGGGACTTTCACAAGACCAATTGGTAGACCTCCAGACTCAACGTTATCTTCTCGCAGCACTGGATGATAGTCCCAGCCCTCCTTGTACCATCCGAACCGTTTTGGAATTGCCCATCTGGGACCAAGAACCTCTTGACTGTACAGTACTACAAGCTGACACCAGACCCATCCTGTTAAAACCATCATTGCCGTCCAGCTACTCTCACTAAAGAGAAAATTATCCTCATAAAGGAAAAAATAAGCAAAAGGAGATAACCTTAGCAAACTTTGTACTATGACGAAACGCCAAAGAAGCGCTTTGCGACAATTACGTGTGATGTTGCGTTTTATCTGGGGAATCCAGAGGGACATGTAAGTGAAGGAGCAAAGGTAGACATATGCTGTGCGGATAGGGACAGGCCAGGTGGTGGACATGATGGAAAGAAGAAGTATCACGGTTAGGAGGAGAATGAACTGGCCATAGTAGGGAGTTATGTCGGAGGTTACTCTCGATTGTTGAACGATAACTGGAGCGCCCGCTGGACGAGGTACCGCGAATGTCGCATTGACATTTTCAGCTATTTCTGCGTCCACGTCTTGATCTGAAGGGACTATGATGGGAACATTTTGAGATGTGTTTCGAGGTGGAGCTTGAGTTGAAGATGCGATAGGTAAGGGTAAGGCATCTACACCCGCTGCCGTGATAACCGGTGCTGATCGCACAGCTGCAGGTGGATTCCTAGCTTGCAATTCTGCCAAAGCAGCCGCTTGTGCTCTTTCTTGCTCCAATCGTTCAGGTTCTTGAACTCCATAAATATTTACGATAAAGCGAACTCCAAGTGCCACAGACATCAAGCCGGCAAATGATGTTAACAACGCAGATGGAAATATGCTAGATAATGTAGCGCTCGCCAGTGACATTGTGAAGAACAACAATCCATCTGCTAAAAGCATCATAGCAACAGTATGGATGCTAACACGACCCACAGTTGATGGTGTAGAAGCCTCTTTACATTGATCCTTCAGAATCAATGCCTGTCCGAGAGCTACCGCAGCAAATACCAATAACCAAGAACGAATAGTTTCCAACCAAACCTCTTGCTTCAAACCAACAAGGTGTTCTCCATCCACAGGAGCGAAGTTTGGCGGACCTTTCGATTCGAGCATAAATCCACAATCAGGCGAGAAGATTATTGTAGATAGCTGTAGTTTCGGCGCCTGGGAAATAGGAGCACCATTTGGGAATCGAAGTTCGTTTTCGAGTTCTTGGACAAAATTGTGTGCTTTGGGTGATCTGTCATCATATTCGAGGCCATTAAATTTCAAAGGTAATACTTGAGCAAACAAGATATATTCGCAATGGGGTGTTGGTAACCCATCGATTTGGCCCGAATTTGGTTCAAGCAGACTTTTGGGATTCTCCTTCGCGGATTCCTCAAGTTTTTGTAGTCTGCGGTAACAAATTTTCTTCATAATTTCCGCACTGCTTGTGAAATGGTCCTCATCGGTGGCAAAATGGGGAAGACCAAAAGCTCCTGCGAACTTATCACTGGTAGTTGTTAGAAGAACTCCCCCTTCATCTGGCCAATGTACACCATGCATCCTCATTTCATGTCCATCTCCACTACTGCTCTCATCTTGAACTGTTAATGTGGCCGCAATCTCCCTTACAAGTATTTCTGTACCCGGATTTGCGCCAATTCCAAGATCAACTCTCTCAATCCCATCAGATATGTCCCTTTTCTCAATCCTTGCTTCTCTCTTCGAAGCTTCTTCTTCAGCCTTCGCTGAACTTTCGCCTTCAGTGACATGTTCCTTAGTCACCTGTACAATCATCTCCTCTACCGCAGCCTCATCCAACCTCAACATAACTTTCCCCTCCCTCCCCGTCACATTCCTTGTCCACAGCTCCTCATCTGTGAGGGCCCAAGCGACCCCCGGCGCAATAACACTTAGATTCAATCCACTCCTTCTCTCCTTCCCCGCTACCAAACCACTCATGTATCTGGCCCAATTTCCCCTCACCACTCCCGTCACATTGGTATAAATCCTGCCCTCCAATCCCCGGCCGCCCTCCCTATCAGAATTCGATCCATCCTGCAGCCCTCTCGCCCACTTCCTCAATTCATCACTCCTCTCCTTGAATGCACGCAATCTCTCCCATTTATATCCATCCTCTGCCTTAAACCCAGTCAAGTTCAAATAGCTTGGATCGTCCGATTTCTCCGGTGCGAAATCCCCATAATTCGTTGTATTCAACACTCCAAACACATGTCTATTATGTGCCAACTGCTCCTCTGCAGTGTTTTGTGAGTCTCCGAGGCTGGATGGGAGACCGGTGTCATTGGACGCAATCCACCACAGAACCATGATGACGAAGAATATAAGAGAGACATCGCCGCGTTGGGGTGGCATATTTGCGGATTGTTTATCCTTTTGTTCTTATTACTGTGTGGGAGTATTCCATATCCTATTCATCCATGAGAAAGATGAAAAGACATTTTGCATCAGCAAAGTTCGAGAAATGCTTAGTTTTGGTGAATTTGATATCTTGTACGATCCATCCATCATTGTAATGAGGCATCATCGGGCACATTCCCCTCTTAAATACCGATCCTCACTGACCACTCTCACACGCTGAAACCTTTGTATTCATGCACCTTAACAATAATTGTAATTTCTTTTCCTCACCCCAAAACCAAAAAAAAACATTACACTGTCTCTACCTCAAATTCTGAACCATAGTAACGTCGCTCTATCTATCTACAAAATCATACCAACTATCCCACGATCATGGCAACAAACGATATTAAATCCCCAAACCCAAATCGCATGTCCACCATCTCCACCACATCTGTCAGTAAACACCACTATTCTACCCGTAGCACCGCCCTAACCTCAAGCTTCCGTACTCGTAACTAACTATCAAACCTCAAAGGCAGCAACCGATGCCTCAGCCACCGCTGAGCTTTCTCTCGTTGTCGATGAACTTCTAAATTCTCTCTCGAATAAATTCGCTGGCGTTTCGAGCGAGATTTTTGCAAAGAGTGCGTTTCTCCTTTCCAGCGCAACACTCTTCTTCTTACACATGCTTTTTTTGGATTATGATGGAGTACAACGGCTAAATATATGTGAATAGTGGACGAGATGTCGCGACGTTTAGATAATCTCGAGGCTACACTGCAAAGTAATATGGATCCGAAGGGGGATGGCCGAGGCAGCCCTACGAAGATGTAATCTGCAAGGTACAATTACATTACCATATTCTTGATTAAATTTTGGAGCCGATAGATGAGGGGGTATATAGATTGCAGTGTTATCAAACGCGGGTGTAATTGCATACGGAAGTTTGATTACAATTGTACAAACGGGCGTTGAAATGGGAGGACATGGGACGAGATACCAAGGTAGTTATTCAAAAGTACATGATTCATAAAGTGTTCATTCGCATACAGTTATCTACGTCTCCGAGAACAATCCAAAATAAACTTTTAGTGTTGAGATCAACTCGTTTACCCCCTTTTACATTGAACAACTTAATCTTTCTACAATTCAGACTTTCCGGTTGCCTTCTCGATGAATCTTCTCAAGATGTTGGTTTTGGTTGTGAACTCATCCAACTTCTCTGGTGCCAAACCTCCCTTCTTGATGATACCATCCAATCTAGCAAGTTCCTTTGCGGCGTAGTTATCACTCTTGCTCAACTTGTCGAAGACCTTAACGTAGTACTCGGCGTACTTGGATTGAGCACCCTCCTTGTATTCTTGAGCAGCCTTGGTAGCTTCTGCGGCGATCTCAGCAATGCTTGAACCACCAGTAAATTTGGTGACGAGAGCATCCAAAGCCTCGATAGTACCAGCAGTAGCATCAAGTCCACCACCAACAGCACGGTGTGTACCGGCCTTGCTGTTCATGAATTCGACAATATCCTTCTCTGAACGTCCACCAGAGTATGCTTCGGCTTCAGTGCTTCCCTTGGGGAAGAACTTAATGGTTGGGTAAGAGGTAACGCCTTGGTCCTTGGCTGTTGCTTTGGAGTTTTCTGCTTCGGCATCGACCTTGGCAATAACGACATTGGGTTCATTGGCGAAATCTGAAGCAACCTTCTCCCACACTGGTGCCAAAGTTTTGCAGTCTGAAACAAAAAAAAAGTTAGCAAGTCATTGTGATTGTCAACGCAGATACTGGATAGACTTACGGCCACACCATGGTGCAGTGAAAGCAACAATGACATCCTTGTCACTGCCAATTTGCTCCTTGAATGACTTATCGTTCAACATTTCGACGGCACTTGGGACAGCCTTCGCCTTCTTTGGCTTAACACCAGTCTTCTTTGTAATGAACTCTGTTAAGCTATCGATATCTCTGCCTCCATTGTAATCCTCTGGGGTTTTGCTCTTTCCATCGAAGTATTTGATGGTTGGGAAACCTTGAACGCCGAATTTCTTGCCCAAGCTCTTCTCTGCATCCGCATCGACTTTCGCAATTGTGACCTTGTCCTTTGCAAATGCAAAGTCCGAAGCAAGCTGCTCGTAAACTGGTGCAAGGGTCTTACAATGTCCGCACCATGGTGCAAAAAATTCAATCAAAGCTGGCTTGCCCTCGAAGGCAAATTGATCGAAGTTCGAAGGAATGAGATCGATAACGGCAGATGAAGCTGTTGCAACTGTGGCGAGGCCAGCGAACACGAGACTTTTTAAGAGAACCATTTTGATGATTCGTTTCTGATAAAAGATGTAAGTATTTGTATGATTGAAGAAAACCCCTTAGCTTTGAAGGAGTTCTTGGGATTTAACTACCTGATTGTCAGAAGTTGGTTTGATTTCTAATAGAGAGGAAGGACAGCTTGCTTTTGCGGTGCTGCTCGGAAGTGGCTAACGATAAGCGATAAGGAACTAGTAAACCGGGTCGTCCTGGAAAACCCCACCCGTTTTGACGTTAATAAGGATGAGGTCGTTTATTTGCATGTACGAATTTATCACTATTCACAGTTCAATACGAGTAGATATCTTGAGAATCATGTTTGAGGTCCAGTCTATTTCTTTCACAGAAGCTGCAACGTTGATGAATATCTTCATTTCTCATTATTCAATCGGGTAGATTTCTTCCGTCTACCTCGTTGTAGATTACTGCCATACTAATATCTTCGTCTATGTCCTCCTCCATATGACGGGCGAGTCGAATTTTGATTGTAATACTCTGCTGTCCATGCCACTATTTGTGCCACTTCATTATCAATTACTTTTTGGACGCCAGCATTGACTTGTCCGTTCTTCAATCGGAGATCTGAACAATGGAATCCGCCAGGAATGATTTGTACTGGGTGTTTCGCAGTAGACTTCAATTCGCCACCGGGTCTGAATTGAGAACTGACACCGGATGTTCTCCATGGGTCATATTGACTATCGATATGTCAGCAGGTTGTTAGCAAGTTGGACAAAGCCACATACCCATTTGTCCAAATAAGACGAGTGGTCTTCTCGAGGTCCCATCCATTAGTGTATCTGTTGACTCGATCCACAGTCGCACCCTTAGCACTGGCATATGTGTATTCGCCCTCAGTTGGGAAGAATAAAGCACATTGTCGTTGCCAGTAATTCGCATCGATGAGACGGGAAACAATTGTAGGTCTGTTCTTGGGCGCTCCACTGCCAAAATTGTTAGCCCAAGCGATACAATGTCAATTCTGCAATACATACTCTTGCCAATAGCCAAAAGGCTCGTTGCAAAGCATCCAGTTCCATTGTCTATCAATTGCATTTCCGACGCTATAGTCTCTGAACATCAAGTTGTTGAAATCATGTGTATCGAAACAAGATGTGTCGTTGGCAGCGTAGCCAAAGCTTTCACAGTCTATTCGCTTTTTGTTAGTACCCCAATACTTTGATTGGCAACCAGATACTTACAGCCAGGTATGTAGCTCTTGGTCCATTTTGCATAACCCTCCAATGCGGTCGTAAGACCAACACCGTTCGCATCTGGAGTGACAGCAGCTCCGGCGGTGACGTTCTATTATTATCGAGTTAGGACATAATCTACCATTCAGATAAGAGGCTACTCACTTCAATTGCGTCACAGAATTGGTAGAAGCCTGAATAGCCTGTAGAGAAACTGTTTGACTGCCACAACCAAGGGCCATTTTCGAGAACAGCCATGAAGTCGTCATTGTGCTTGACAGATTCCAAGCCAAACTTAGTCTTCAGTGCAGTTACTTCACTTTTGCTACCATGGGTCAAGACGTTGTCCATATAGTCAATAACTAAAGAAACGTCTTTGCTGCAGTTCTTTGGCATGCCATCTTGAACGGGGTAGAAGTATTGCCAATAGTTGTCGATAGCTTGCACTGGGGCACTGGATGCATGGTATGCCCAGAATGTACCAGGGCTTGTTGATTCTGTCCAAGCAGAGAGTGCACCGCTGTAACTACCACCTGAATTAATCCAGGGCGCAGAAGCTGCATTGCTGCTATGGTTTGAGTCGAATGGAAGGTCAACTGTCTTGGCAAAGTGAACGAAATCCGCAATAGCTTGTTTTAGAGTGAGGAGTTGTAGGTTGGTTGTTGTGAGATTATCATATGGAGAAGATTCGCCCCAGAAACGATCTGTAGAACAATCAGCATATCTTCCAACCTGAAAGTGGAAAATACATACGCTCAACCATAACAACGGCACCCTTAACTTCCTGCGCAAAGCGCCCGGTAACGGTGATGTTCGTCAAATAGCCACCATAATTTGCAGCAGCAATTTCACCAGGAGTGAAGAAAACGATCTACAATTGTCAGTGGGAGCACAATTATTGAAAGTTGTGGTTATCCTTACTGGAGATCCTGGTCCGGCCCAAAACTCGGAGTTCCACCAAAACTTTTGTTGGAAAGTTCCTTTGGAAGGATTGTCATGATCTAAAAGCTGGGTGAAGAATGCAGAACCTGTAGTATTTACACCAGCTGCATTGATTGAAACAGGAAATTCGTCTTCTGCTTCAATCGGTGGGACCAACCTCCCTTTGCGAAGGAATGGGTGCTCAGCAGCTGCAGATGCAGCCAGCAAAGAGATTGCGGATACAATTGACCACTTCATGACGGATACTGAGGACTTGGAGAAACTTGAGCCCAGAGATGTAGAAGAAGGACAAACAAGAGAAGGCAGAGGAGTAGAGGTGAATACTGCCACGGATTCACCTCAAGTATTCATACAATTTTTTTCTCGGGAGGCCAAACTTACTGGTATCACCTACCTTATCTGGAAGACATGCATACGAGAAGACCCATGAGACTAATTCGATATAGTTTCGTAGATCCCCATTTCTTGGGAGGATAACAATCGATAACAATCACGTATGATAAATGAATTGTAAATGAAATCCATGTAGTCTATGAAGCCGAAGATAACCACAAAAGATGATTGGGGCTGTAACTCACTGATAAACCAAACAGAGCTTCAGAGCCCTAGGGGTCTAACCGTTATCCGGCATCTAAGCCGCTACTCAAAGCTTGGTATATCTTTCGTACTTGAGTAATGGTAAAAGAAAAGACGAATTGCGTGTATTCGAGATGCTGATTCCGTGCGAGGATGTTCATGAAAAGAGCTTGGGACGATGGGGGCTCGGACAGGACAGGGGATTTTGTTTTTGAGTTGCCTTTTATGGTAAGGTTATAACGTCCACTTTACCGGATAAGGGAGGTGCTTCAATGTCAATGGCCAACCACATCATAACCGACTTGTGCTACTGTTACCCGAGCCAGCAGTACATATTGAAGTCGTATCAGGTACGTACCTGATTGACCGACTGCATGCATAATGAAGTCTCTTATGTTAGGATAAGTACCCCAAATAATGGGTTATATCCGCAACAATCTGACGGGCTCAATTAAAGTATTCAACCGGTTTCCTCGAGTTTGATGTGCTACTTGTTGAGCTCGCTGAGGTACCAAGCGTTACTTTGTTGACATTAACCTTCTCTAGCCACACGCATTTCGCACAAAATTGGTTGACTATGAGCGGTCTACTCGATGATTCGCTCTGCGGCCAGACACTCATCGATTTCACCGCATTTTGTTCGTTTAAAATTGTTGTAGTTTGATGTGCTACTTGTTGAGCTCGCTGAGGTACCAAGCGTTACTTTGTCGACGTTAACCTTCTCTAGCCACATGCATTTCGCACAGAATTGGTTGACTATGAGCGGTCTACTCGATGATTCGCTCTGTGGCCAGACACTCATCGATTTCACCGCATTTTGTTCGTTTAAAATTGTTGTCAGTTAAAAGAGTACAGAATGCTCTTTTATTATCAGACATATCTAATTCACAGCAGTGAGATACATTCGTCTGTTTCAAGGTAGGTAGGTAGGTATCTATGGAATTTTTTCGATCTATAAATGTAGTATCCCCAGGAATTATTTTGTGATATAGGATGTGGCTTATCACACGATCTTAGTGGATCTCGGCTACCAGTACTTGGGATGGGAGTCATAAGAGATCATCAAACTGTATGTCACCTTACCTAGGTACCTTTTGTCCTTGGACTCACAAGTATATTTTGTTTTTATTTCAATTACAGCTACAATCATGTATCGAGTATCTCACATTTTCACCACGTGTTTCCGCAAGAAACCTCTGCAGGTCAATATCCAATACCGCTCATTCACCAAATTTGACTCATTTGGAAATTCCCCCATTCCTGCTTCCAAAAAGCGTTTCGTTCCAACATCTGGTACCTACCCCAAAGGCTTTCTTGTCGGTAGTACAAATGTCGGGATCAAACCATCTGGCTTATCCCAGCCAGACTTAATTTTAGTGACGAGCGAGAAGCAATGGGAGACATGTGGAGCTGCTGTTCTTACAAAGAATGAATTTCCAGCTCCCAGTGTACTTGTTACTAGAGATTTAATAAAGAAAAGTCGAGGAAGGGGAATGAGGGGTGTAGTCGCGAATTCGTGGTGTGCAAATTTGCTTACGGGTGAGAAAGGACTAGAGGACTCGAGAAAGATGAGCGAGGAGGCGGGAATGGTTCTGGGTGAGGGAAACGGGAAGGGGAAAGACCCGGTAATGATCATGCATACAGGCAAGTTGATGTTCTAGAGGATTGCTCACCTTCATTGCCCTGGATGGTGAATATTATAGAATACTTGGGTCCTTCAATTCCTTCCTATGCATGAGAACAATGAACTGACTGAATAACTCGGACCTAGGGATGGGTGGCCAGCGGTAAGCTTTCTCACATGGTTATCCTTCACTCACTAATTCTATACAGACTCCCTATTGATGACATCATCCAAGGCATCCCAAAACTCCATCAGAATATGGGTACCACTCACAATCACTGGCTACAAGCCGCCAGGGGCATCTGTACAACCGACACCTTCCCTAAACTCTCATCCCGCACCTTCACTCTCCCATCTTTACCAGACACCAAATTCTCTCTCGCGGGCATCACCAAAGGCGCCGGAATGATCCATCCAAACATGGCTACCACACTTGGTATAATTTGTACCGATGCACCCATTACGCCTCCTGCTCTTCAACAACTCTTAAGTACGGCAGCTGATAAGAGTTATAATTGCATCTCTATTGAAGGAGATACAAGCACTAATGATATGGTCACTATGTTCGCCAATGGTGCGGCTGCACCTAGACATTCCCCAATCGACTTTGATACATTGGCGGCATCTCAGTCCGAAGATTTTGTCGCTTTCCAAAAGATTCTCATTGAGTTCATGGCTGATCTCGCAAAACTGGTAGTAAGGGATGGAGAAGGCGCAACTAAATTCATCACAATACGAGTACGAGGCGCGCCGACTTACCCAGCAGGCAAACACATTGCATCCGTTATCGCGCGTTCTGTCCTTTTCAAAATGGGGGTCTATGGCAAAGATCCAAATCCTATAGGTGTTTTAGCTGCTTTGGGTTACTCATTAATGGATACGGAGTTTGCTGGTAAGGGGATCATCAACCGCGAATTGACATCTGTCAGTTTTGTGCCGGTTGACGGTGCTGAGGAATTGAATTTTGTGAAGCGGGGAAAGCTGATGGAAGTTGATGAGTTGGGGATTAAAGAGCTTATGGAAAAAGAGGACGTAGAAGTGGTGGTGGATTTGAGGGATGGTGGGTGTGAAAGTGGAGAGGAAGCTGTCTATTGGACGTGTGATATCACGCATGAATTTGTTACAATAAATGGAGATTTCAGGAACTAGATACAAATTTGAGGTCAAAGTCCTTCGCATTCTGTTAGCTTTGATCAAAGCTAGCAATGTCGAAGTAAACAATTCCAAAAAGATTCGAACATGGGAATGAAAAGGTTAAGAAACTAGAAATGCCATTGTATACACGATTCGCTTGGATGCTAATTTCCCAAAAGAATAACACACCTAACTACCTATGAAAAGTAATGACGTCATAAAACAAGCAATGATCGGCAAATTGCAATTCACACGAGCAGCAATGCTCAGTGCAGCATGTTATGAGTCAACACGATCCTCAACCACCAACGAAGCTGTGGTCTTAGAGTCCGACAAACTTAAACGTCCACTTCCCATCCCCAACCTCTTTCCTCTGAGATACTACTACATCGATATCTGTATCCGGTTCCATTATCACAGTAGTCACATTTGTATTATCAGATTTTGGCAATTTCCATTCTCTTTCAACTGGCCTCATATCAAACCGCATCACAAACATCGAAACGACAGCCAGTATTTCATTCGTAGCAAAGTGACGACCGGGACATAAAGTGGTGCCGCCACCAAATGTACGAAATGCAGCTGGGTTGGGACGTTTGATATCTTTGTCTTTGAGAAATCGTCGAGGATTGAAGTCTGCAACGTCTGGTCCCCAGATTTTGGGATCCATATGGATAACACGACCGGGCATTTGAATGATGGAGTTCTTCTTCAATAGCCATTTGTTGTCTAGCATAGTATCTTCCATGACTATCCGGACAGAAGTCCCGGCAGATCGATGACGCAGAGTTTCCTGAAAAGTCGATAGTAGAAGATGGCATTTTGTCTTCACGTTCGTGATATCGAGACTTCGTGTCAGACTTCCATCCTCATTACAGCTTGTTTCCACAATTGCCTCAATTTCACTGCGTATTTCTCCCAGGAGCTTGAGGTTCGAAAAAATGAAAAATATTAACCAGAACAACGCAGGTGCAGTATTGACAATAATAGCAACTCCGATAACAGTTTCATATCTAGCAATATCTTTCACTGGAACGCCATGCTTGACATTAACCTCTAGACGAGCTTGCGCAAGCACAGAAGCATCCTTGAAATCACTTCCTGCGTAATATGATTCGAAAGCTTTTGTGACTCTTCTGCGTGCTGCAACACCCTTTGCGAGCAAAGATAGAGGGCAGTATTCCGATTAGCAACCTCACCATCTGACTCTCCAACTCCCTAACGCAATGATTAGTCTTCAAAACTTCACACGAATCACCAGAGAGAAATACCAAAAGCTATCCTGAACCTCCACATCCCTGTAAGGATTTCTCGGTCCATAAACCGATTCCGTCGTCGCCATAGTAATTAAAGCTCTCAGCCACGCATGAAGTCCAATTTCCACACTCTCCTTTCCCTCGCCAATCAATCCATCCAAGCTCTCCGCAACAATCCCAACCATGACCCTATTCATGCCATCCAAGCCTGGTCCCGGCGCTGTCGCCTTCTTCATGACATGCGTCGCCTCCATATTCAAACCCCAATCGCCTTCATCTCCATTAACATTAATTGCCATACATCCCTCGCTTTCCTACTAACTCCACAAAGTTGGTTTGCGAATCTTGCCGAAATGGGCGGAAACGCGAGCTTTTTAGGGAGTTTTTGGACGGCCTGGATTAACTCGGGTTGTATTCACAATGTACATTTTGGCGCCCGGAACACGTATTGTAAGGATTGGGAGACGTGTTTTCTGGCTCAGATCAACATAGTAGTTGAATTTTCGACGTCCAAGTCCAAGGATGTGACCGATATACGGGATTCGTGTTGTGGCCATGGAGGTTCGAAGGGATCACAGACGGAGCATAGGAAGTTCAAGAGGAGGTAGGTCAATATTCCGAGGACTGTGACGATCATGAGGGACCGAGGGAGTAAATTGTCGATGATTGACATGATGATGCGATCATCTATGAGCTGTTGTGAAAGCATCTGAAAGGAGTTGGATATGTAAATGTCAATGCCGGGAGCTGATTCTCCTTCTCCTCCACTGCATTCGACGAAGAAAGAAACTGTAAGAATCTTTCATCTTATATAGATCTCATGGCATCTGCAATCCAAACTCAGAAGATATATTGGCTCACTCTCCCAATTTCCTTCGACATATTGAATAACATATGCGGTTAAGCCAATTGAGAAATTGGGAAACGCCTGACGGAACACCTTAAACGGCAACTTCCATATGTTGCAAAGCTCGTAAAATAACAACATCTATATTACACCATGGCATTTCCATCACAAACAACGGGCGTTTCTAACTTCAAAAAGAGGATTCAAACCATCCTTGGCCAGCCAAATTAATACCGCCAGCAGCCACATCTCAGCCAGCCGTCCAGGTAAAACATTCATGATTCAAATTTCCCCATACTTTTCGTATATCCTCGAGCTCCACAAGGTCTCTCCCATTGATATGTCCAGTCGTGTCCAGTCCTCAACTTTCTCGTGTCTCGCAAAACTGATTGATTTCTCCAATCGTTCGAACACTATACTACTGCTCTCTCCGTGAAATTTGCTCATAAATTATAGTCTTGTCTATGCGTTGGCAATATAGAGGTTTTGAAGAAAGCAGAAAGTGGCAGAAGATGGTGCTATCTGGATGAGTGTTGAAACCTCAAAGAGGAAGGGGAAATCTGAGTACTAAACATTCAATTTAACCGGGTTGGATTGTTATATTAAATGTTCGTACTAGGGCCAGATATTGAAGACAAAGATTTGACAGATGTGACGAGTATCACATTTTATATTGTGAATGTTCATGACATTAATGCTCTGATAAGAGAAAATTGGAATGATGTTAGAAACCATCAATATTTGGAATGCACTAGCATGAGTATCCATCAGGCGTGTTGAGAAAAGTTTGTGACACACAGAATCCTGTACTCAAACAGAGAAGCAAGACAAGGCAAAAAGGGTGGCAGTATGAAAGCTAATTCTTGAAGGTATTCTTCGGAAGTTTCAGGCGGATACCTACCTACGCAATGAAGCCCTTCTGCCACAACTTCATACATCGTCGAATTCTCCCCTGAACACGTTTTATACACGTCCTAGCGCATATAGAATTGTACACGAACTACCTGACTAGCGAAACAAATTCTACTCATAGATTGACCACAAACATTATCGTATTAATACCTCTATACAGTTCAGCAACAAACTTCTAATGCGTACACATCAACCTCTCAAACCCGTGCGTCCACCTAAAACTCCCCATAATTACCACCATCAAGGCCAATCCCCCAATTACGCTCACCAATCCATATCTATACCCATGACTTCTCCTCAGCGAGCTCAACTCCACTACCCATGTACTAACCGTGGTCAAGCATCCACAGAACCCATCCTCTATTCCCTGTAAAACCTGGCATCCAATCACACCTCCTAAAGGTACATGTTGTAAATCATATGCCATACCCATCATTGCCGTCCCAAACATGTTGACTGCAAATGTTCCAAGAGGAAATGAAGAGATTTTGCCATTCAAGTAAAGAGAGGCGTAGAAACGGGCTAGACAGCCTACAGGTGCGAATATGAGGGCAAAAACCGCGCGACCTCTCCATATCTCAGGCGGTGCGTCATTTCTATCGGGTGGGAAAATAGCTAGAAATATAGCACCCAGCCAACAACCCCACGCTAAGAATACCGCAAAAGGGTCTAGATACTTGCGAGACTTATGAAATGATAAACTCGGTGTACACGGTTCCAAAAATATAGCAAGATGGGCGCCGAAAAATAACGCTGCCAAACACAATGAGACAGTCGTAATGATAACAGCTAACGTCGCCATAAACGAATATCCTCCATTTCGGCTCACAGTACTCGTTGTACTAGCCATAATTGGACTATAATCCTGAGGATGGTTCAGAGGACTCGGCAAATCATTTGAAAGTGCCAAGAACGTATCTCGAATAAACGATGAAAAGGATGTAAAACTGCCACAAAATCCCGTTGCAAGACCTATGTACAAAGGAATGGTCTTTTTCGTTACAGCATGTGCTTTTTTGGCAGCTTGTAAATCGGGATTTTGTTCTACAGCCAGTGAGCCTGCATTTTCTTCATCTTTAACTTTGGCTTTCCATTCCTGAATTTTGTGGTGGTAGGTAGCGGTTCCCCATTCTTCTCTAAACAACATCCTGTCTTCACCTAGAAACCCCATGAATAAACTTCCTCCAACATTTGCCCATAGCTCGCTGAAGATTATGGGAGCTCCGGGGTAGAAGGTAATGGCTTGGAGACCTAGTCTAGCCAATGTTCCAAATATTGAAAACAGAATTAGATAGGATATGGTATATAACTTTGTCGCGAATTTTGAGACCTTTGGGGGACTGGAATTTTCCTTCTCCTCTGCCGGTGGTCTTTCTCCTCTGGCAATACTATCTCGTTTACTCTGCTCTTGTCTTCTACGATCCTGTTCGTATTTTTGCTCTTCGTCTTTGGCCTCCTCTAAAGATTTATGTTTATATGTCGGAACTTCGTGGGGATTTTCCACTGGCGATGGTGTGGCAAGTTCATCTAGATGGGCATAATCATCTGGAATGTCGTAATCGCTATCGGTTTTAGAAGCTCGACTTGCGCGACGACGTGTTTTTTGCTCGCTACTATTCGTATGTCCTAGAGGTTGATTTTGTCTCAATTGGTTTCCATCCGTGTTTTGTCTCGGCGCCGGCACAGTGCCTTCATCAAGTCGAGAATAACTCTTTGGTGAATCATATCCCGCATCTTGCGCCTCCCGCGCGCGTCGATCTTGCGATGGTCTGTCTATTGACTTCGAGTGGGTTGGATTGGCCTTGATGTCGTAAGACTTATTTCCAGTATCTTTGGTACCTGTGTTCTCCATTGGCATTATCCACTTATATGCCAAGGCCGTGACACTTCTATTGATATCATCTAAATCCCATTAATGAAGGGAAAATTCCGACGTCACCTAGCAACATGGTGAATAGTTGCCGTCTTTTTAAAGTTAGATTGATGCGAGATCCACTCGGGGACCGCCCCGTTTGCGATTCGACTGATAAGGTCCAGGTTCCACTGATAAAATGTGGGCGGTTGGGCTCGGCCTCTAGCTGCAGGTGTGAATACATAACACATAGCTTGCAAGCAGTCATCAACGTCCCCTCTTCTATAAACAAAGAAATATAAAGCTTCACTTCCATCATTGACTCTATACATTTGATCAATATCACAAAAGTACTTACAACATCTTCACAGTTTGAACAACAATTGTGCGAAGCTTCAAAAATGAATGAATCAATCCCACCTAACGTTCACATCTCCACCCATCCGTGTCTCCAAGCCAAACTCTCACAATTACGATCCAGCGAAGCTAATACTCGCGAAACGAAAGCTCTTGTTAATGAAATCTCATTGATAATAGGATGTGAAGCTACCGCCGCTGGACTTACTGTGTCTAAAGGTCCAACTGTATGTTTATGCGTTCAGTCATTCCTCTTCTCCATCTTCCCGCCCCATCATGTCTCAAGCCCACCCCACAACCAAACTAACAAACTACACTAGGCCAAAACACCCCTCGGATACACCGATACAACAACTACCATAACACCCGCCTCCATTTCCCTAATCCCCATTCTCCGTTCCGGTCTTTCTATGGTCGAAGCTCTCCAAACCCTCCTCCCCTCCCCAACCCCAATCCATCATCTTGGACTCTTCCGTGAACCCACCACTCTTGAGCCCGTCGAATATTACAACAATCTTCCCTACCACGCACCCGCCGCATCATCTCCCTCCAACACCCCCAACACCTCCGCTTCTGAGCTCGCAATTCTGCTCGATCCCGTTATTGCTACAGGAGGAACTTGTGCTGCTGCCATTCGTACATTGAGGGAATGGGGTGTTAAGAGAATCATCGTATTGAGCGTGTTGGCTGCATTACCGGGCTTGCAAAATGCAGCTAGAGAGTGGCCTGAGGGAACGGAGATTTGGTGTGCGGGTGTGGATGAGGAGGTCAACGAGAAGGGCATGATCAAACCAGGTTTGGGAGATGTGGGTGATAGACTATTTTTGACCATTGGAAAGTAAGGTGCTTAAAATGGGTAATTGAGTTGCTTGGTCAAGATTTGCTGGCGTTACATAGCGATGAGATTCCCTCAGGTTGAATGAGATACCACCCGCTTCGCCTTCTACCATCTGATACTTGTTATACGTGACTGTAATTGTGATATGTTTTGATTTGAAGACAATTAATATTAATGGTGGATACTAATCTACCTCCACCTGGCAGGTATTAAAAAATCTATGGAAAAAATATATACAAGTAGGGTATCATATCTAACACGCTCCAAACAAATGCATTTCAAGGTATACTCAGAATTGATAGCCCGGTGCTCCAAAATCGTCATCCCAAGGTATAAGCTGAATAAGAAAGTAGGCAATATTCAAGATGGTCGGATAATACTGCAACAATATTATAAAGAGGCCCAAGTAGAGGGTAGCAGATAAAACCAGGTAAGGTGTAGGTTCGAGCAGGAAGTCTTTCCATAGATCTATTAGCCAAATTTCCATTTCCGAGGCCTCAGCTAAATGCACTGGTCTGTATACATCGCGAAGTCTTGGACGAGAAGGATGACTTTTTTGTGACCGTGGCTCAGTAGGAGGGAACTTCGCTGGTTGGGAATGGTATTGAGACCCTGATATCTGTGCCATTATTGCTGCCGAAGATATCTCGGGGCTTGTAAATCGTTCTTTCTCTTGGGATGATTTTGCATGACTCGAAACTGCGACTTTCTGCCGCATACGCACATAACTCCGTAGCCCCTTTTCCATAATCTGTGCTCCGCGTTGTCTTATCCTAATGCATTTAGTCGTATCGTCGTGTTTTCTCTTCTCAACGTCCCGGTGCCAAAAGACCCCTGACTCTTTCAATCCTTTGAACTGCGCCTTCAAGCCTTTCCAGTCGTTTTCTCTTTTCTCCATCCCTTCGTTCCAAAATTTCAACTCGCTCTTCGAGTTTCGCCCTTGCTTTTCGTTCCGTAGCAACCATTTCATTGGCTTGTGTAAATAGCTGTGCCGTCAGTTCTTCCAGTTCGACACTGGATTCATTTAATTTGCCCTCCGCAGCCTGTCGTAACCCTTGCTCCCTTGTCAAGGCAGCTACTAACTCTGTTGTAGAAGGGGTTGGCGGTGTTGGCGGTTGCTGAGCCTGTAGATTCGGCGTGGACTTGCGAGATAGCAGAGAAGAAAGTCGATTCTGGACAGGCAGATATGAGAAACGACTCGGGCTTCCAAGTCGGTCTTCAGTGTGCCCTTGTGTTGGTGTTGTTGCGCGCTGAGGTTCTGTAATTTGCTGGTAGTTCGCCCTTTTAAGTGATTGGATTTCGTCTTCGTAGTCTGCCCATTTATCCACTGGCAATATCGTTAGCACTAGAAGATCAAAGGTTTATAAAGAGAAGCCTACCAGCGGCGGTCGCTTTTTCCGTCAGTAACTTTACTTGAGCTTGCAATTCCTCAATCTCTTTCTGCGCATCAGCTGCAATCTGCGAACTGCTGTGCGGTAAAGCCATTCCACAATTAGGACATGCAGATTCAATTCCCGACGTCTGCGCCATCGTTAAAGTTATAGTTGCCGACATGAGCTCGTCGTGTGTTGTACTATGATCATAAGACAATGTATTGGTAAGGTAGCTGTGTGACTTCGCGATTTGGCGTGATGAGTATCAGGTGTTGTTGGGTACAACTCTAAACTGGTGAATATAAACTCTGTTTTTCGACTGTGCAAGTGTGCGACCATGCGACGGAAGTATTCGACTTTGTAATTAATTGAAGAGGGGTCAATAGTTATCGGACAGGCCTTGCATAATGAAATTTATATCCAGCATTACAGGAGATTAATTTCAGCAAGGCGCAGGCTGTGCCAGTAAAGTAATACATACTGTAGGCGCGATGGAGATCCTCATGGTAACCATGTTAACGGCATTCTTCATCCCTGTTGATGCCGGCAAACCCCTAATAATAGGTACATCTTCATGCTTCAGCCATGCCATTGTTGATGGTTATAATGCTGACAATCTAGGATGGATGGCGTCCACAAGTATCGTTCTCAGTAAGGGATGAGGACTGAAATGTTCCAAATATCTGGTAAAATCGAAACCCTCGTAAGAAAAATCGACTCGGGAAGCTTACGCAAGTATCTTCCGCTCAATCTGAGCACCAAACATCAATGCCACATTCTTGTTGGTTGAATGGATTCTTTTGTGGGTACGACTATAACTTTGACGTCGGAAGTTTATCGAGACGTTCTGGATTGAGTGGACGTTTCGGAATGATTGTATTTCATCATGAATCCTGTTCCTTCAAATATTGTGGTGTTTCGGCGCAGTTTGTAAAGTTCATCTGAAGATTCCATTCCGTCTGATGTCTGTTTGAGAATGAAGCTCATTCTTGGATTCAAGATGAAACTTGGCTGCTAACAATCAGGGGCGCCTGGAAGCTTTCTGTTTGTTCATCTAAAGTTCGATGATTAGGTGGGTTCGTGGTCGTGTATTAGTTGCGAGAGATGAAATTGTTGTTTTCAAATTGATTTCCACTAGGCATATCTGCGAGCGCAGCCGTAATATGCAATAAAATGATTCTATGCCCAGTTGGCATAAAGAAAAGGAGATCTTTGCTTCCACGAGACGCCCAAACTACTTTGAATATCAACTCCCAATATACACCTTTCAAATCAATCTGCAAAAGGTGTAGTAAAAGAAATAGTACTTTGCAGATATCTCTGGATCTTCAAATAAGGTTGATCCCCCATCTCACACCAAGCGTCATGTCTCTTCTCCACCATGTCCTGTCGTGCCTTTGCCGCCTCTTCATCTTCCATCTTTCTGAGGGCGCCATTAAGGTGGTTGCGGCACCAGAGATCTTCATTGATACCCTTGTGATTTTTAGGCGCCTTGGGTCTTAAGGATGGCACTCCACTTTTTCCCACCTTTTCAATTACAACGACAACATAGATGGCGGGGTTGTCGAGGCGAAAGAAGTGGACCGCTTGTCCGTCGCATTCGACGGGCTGAATATATCGCTTTTCTAGGTCGTCCTTAAACATCCAACGGTTCAAAATCTCACTGTATTGTACCTCAAGTTGATCGCGAAGGTAGCTGTAGCCTGTAGCGACTTGTTCGGCGAGGAGGCTTTCGCTAGCCTCACTATTTGTGGAAGCGGGTTGATCAGAGGAAACATTGGGAGTAGTACTGGTAGGAGCGACTTGAAATATACCTTCGCTGTCTCTTCGGTCTCTCATTGGTTGGATGGCAACGAGAAACTTTCTTCCAGTTTTGTCGGTTTTGTATATGCCATGTACGGGGGTCGCTTCGAAATTTATCGTTTCTAAAGGCTTTTTTCCTCCGGGGGACTTCTCCTTTGCTTTGAAGATGTTCCACATACTGGAGAATTTATAGCTGGCAAAGAGTTTCTTCATGTTGACGAGTAACAAAGTTTGTTGGTTCGGAGCTTTAGTCGGATGGTAACAGTGCTATTGAAAAAGTTCATGAGAACCAACTATTACAATCTCACAATGCACAGGGCTTGCGCCGTCTACATATGATTTGGCCAGGCTATATGTTCGTGCTAAAAATCTACACATGTGTGTATGTTCGATATGGCTTCAGGTATAGGTATATATGGCAAGAAACGTATTGATATATGGTCGAGACATCAAAGGCAAGCATTTTCTTAATCATATATCTGTCGGTGCAAATTAGAGAAGAATGAAAGAAGAAACGAGGGAGATTTACTAAGTACAGATGTCATTTTACATTTTATCTAGTGCATTGTACCAAAGCTATCATTCAATGTACTAGAGTTGAGAGGTAGCAAGTTTTTAATAAGCTAGCGAGCAGCCAGGCTATACTTTATTTCGTAGCGTTGAGATCTTCAACAATGATTCAGGATATCTTATCATTTGTATTGCTTGAATATCATGGTATTTTGACGATTGAAGGAACGTATGCAATTGTGAGATCTTCCTTTTAAAGATCTAAAACATCAACGAAAGAATACGATTCATACATTTACTCAGCATTTCTTGAGGCACAAAATGCAATTGACCAACTCAATCTGCCGGCCCCGCTTCTTCTTTCAAGCTCACTGTGGGGTTAGTATACACATCTCTAGGGTTTCCACATATATTTTAATATTCCTGGTTAGTACACATAAACTTTTTTCATCTGAAATGTTAGTCTCGGGCGGTTTTGAATGCTTGGGGGATTGCACCATTGCAGGAGGTTGTTCCTCTGAGAAAAGTACGGTATAGCTTTTGATCCTCGTGTCTGGTAAATTAAAATACAAAGTCTCCCTCTCTATTTGACAGGAAGAAGATACCTACCAAAGTTCAGGCGGTATTGATAGCACAGATAGTAGACCGCATGCTCATTCCTATCAAGAATTTCAATTCCGATAGTATTGGATAGACATGAAGCATCCGTCATCAAGGGCACACAATCTGCCTAGTATTAAACCTAGTGAAATCAAGTATGCCTACTATTGTCCACTTTACACGCTTATCAGGGTAGGCCTTGTAAATGAGAGATGCAGATGTGCAACAAAAATCTTCATGAGAAGATATCTCGACGTCATTATTCAATCCTACCCCCCTTCCTTTTAGAGCACCATTTCATTTGTTTGGTTAGTAAGCATTTCTAAGAGCATGGAACTAACTCTCTCTGCACATTTCAATTCTAAAGCAAGCCATGGTGATGTCAATTTTGAACGAGCATGTTTTCAGCAATATTTCTGTAGTACACAAGATATTACATACATCTTGAGCAACAATGTAAGTAAGTACGAATTGAGGCATTCTTTAGTGGACTAGAATGGAAGTTCGATCGTATCCAAGATGAATGCTATAAAAACCATACCTGTATTAAAATACCTCAATTCGATCTGCCATTGAAATAGAATGAAGATACAAATTTTTCAACTGGCCTCATTTTGCCGCGTCTCATAGATAAGCGAATACTCTACCTCGTCCCCTGAATCGTCCCCCACTGCTCACAGTAAATCGAGGGAGTTGGCCGGAAAAGTCTGAACACCCCATGAATTTGTCTGCCTGCTCAGTACGGATGTTCTTCTCACCGATGAAAATCAATGAGACGGCAAAAACCACAACTTTCATTCTCCGTATTTGTCTAGCTTGCGAAGATAATCACTGCAGTCTAAAAACTTTTCATAGAATTATGGCTTCGAAGGAATTTCTTACGAAGTTGAAGTTCTTCTCAGAATTGGGCATACATTTCTTTACACCTCGGTTGTTACCTTACCTGTCTGTTCGCTTCGTGATAAGTTGAAGACTTCAAAAGCTTAAAGGGCAGCAGAAAAGAGTTCAAATGACCCAAGGCACCAGTTTAAAAGATGGAGGAAAAGCATGTTCTAACAATACCTTTATGATATGTAATTGTCTAAAGTCTAAAGCGCGTTAATCAAAACTACCATCAGTAGCTAATGAAGATGAAATCATCCGAGCTTATGACTTTGATGTGTCATCTATACATACTATATACTGCAGAATATAACCAAGATCCTAGTACCACAGAGCCTTATTCCAAAATCTAGATTTGGCGTTGGCTAAAGAATCCGCTTGCAAGTACATAGTTGTATTGAAAACAATTTCCACACCATTGGTACTGGTGTTGTATAAAGGCCATTCCATTTTGTCATTTGGCCACAGGGTATTAGGATTGCCAGTCAATGCGAAAACAAAAGATACTTTTGCATAATCCGCGCTGTGGTGGCATTGACTGGATTCGTTTGAATATCCCCAGAGAGAGCGTACGTGCCATACCAGTAATAATCCTGATCAGTACCATGAGTAGCTTCACCTAATGCAACCATTGCATTCCAAGTTTGGTTGTGAAGTCAAAGCCAAATTGTGTGAGGTCCATTCGAAGCTTTGCCCTATGTCTGAGAAGCGAAGTCCGGGAGAGGCGTAATCACTTTCGGGATAGAGAGCGAGGATTTCGTTGATGACAGTGTCAGTAATCCCAGGGGAGTATATGCGTATTCTATCGGCAACCTCAGCGGTGCTATTGATACCGCTTGTAACGTCGCTATTCTTCTCGTGAAGCTCGTGTGTGTGATGACTAATGGTCCGGTCCAATTGTAGTGACCAGCGTAGAATTCTGCTTCGTCTGTTTTTAGAATGCAACATCGGTTAGCAATTTGTCAATTTTAAATCAAGAAGCGAAAAGAAAGAAGTTTCGATGGAAAAACCTACATGTAGGCTTGTTCTGTATCACGAACGGCAACATTGGTGGCGCCTCCTTCGTGAGTAAAGGTTGGTCCGTTAGCAACACCGGCAATGCCATTTCGGTAATTGTAGGTGATAAAGATGGAGTCTTTGCTGAGATCATAGAGACCTTAGGGCGTAGTATGGGATTTGTTTGCTCTAGCTCTGAATACATCCTTCGTTAGTATGTGTCGGTGTATGAGAGCAACAACAGAATATTACTTACCCATAAGTCCATTGCAAAACAGGAAGCTTCTTTACCGTAGTATTAGCTGGCACATAAATATCCATGAACAAGCAATCCTCAGCGGTTGTGCATGCAACATTCGATGCGGCAAGGGTACCATCGTTAACCTCGGTTTCAACCGGTGGCCATTGAGGAGCAGCAAAATCGAAGATCACCCAATGGAGCAGCAGCAAATCGAACGTTTTGGTATTTATAGACACCAGCTGAGAGATTTGCAGCAGCAGCTTGAACGATACAATAGTCTAAAGTGACTTGTGGCATTGAGGAAGAGACAGTAGCATTTTGTGCTGCAACGACTGTCGCTCTCAGTGCGGACTACAGTCTACCGAACAATCAAAGGTTTTGGGAAATTCCAAACAATTTAAACGTTGAAATAGTTTCGATTATCAAGTGAATTCAAGGCCAAAACTTTGGAGATTTGGAGATCATTGAGGTTACTTGAAAGCTGGTGTAAATGGTAAGGAGAATATGTGACTCAAGAAGAAGTTGATTGTGAAAAGAAAATCTTCCACATGTTTGGTAGAAGTTAGATTTTTTGAAAGTCATCTAGAGCTTTTTAAAATAACATGAAAGTTGCTTTTGGGAGTGCTAAATTGGAGGTTGGCTTAGCAGATCACATATTGACGTACTGATCACAATGAGCACATTCAAAAATGGCAAGATTACGGAAGAGCTCCCGCAGAATTTTCACATCTAGAGACATGACATCATCCGTTGAAGGAATAAAACATTAAGAAGAATCGTTGTTGAAATACTACGCGTACAAAATTGTGCTAAGAAGTCTAGAAGTGATAAAATGATTGAATATGGGAGGAAGCTTTGGTAACGACTGAGACTGGCAAGAAAACAATTTCTTGAGATCCCCGCTAGGCGAGATAACCTCAAAGATGCTCAGATCAGCTCGTGCCTTTGATGATATCCGCAGCTCTTTCAGCAACAGCATAAACAAACAGTTTGGGTGTTACTTCTAGGTACAACGGGCATGATGCTTGCGTCTACTACACGCAAATTACTAGTGCCATACACGATAAGGTTATTGTCAACTACGCCCCCTTTGTTCTCAGGCAGCATGGAGCAGGTTCCAACAGGATGCCAATTTGACATACCCGTTTCCTTGACGTATTTCTTAACCTCGTCCAAGTCATTCCAGGGAGTGCATAACTTGTTGCGTTTTCCGTTGGGCTTGAGCAATAAAGCAAGTGGTTCGGTTGTTGCAAGCTTGTCAACGAAACGAAGGTGACGAGCCAGCACTTCAAGATCGAGGGGGTTACTGAGATATTTGAAGTCTATTTCAGGAGCTTCAACATGAGTTCCAGAAGAAATATGCACGTATCCAGTGCTGAGCGGATTCAAGAGCAAAGCGCTTATCGTGACAAAATTCTCTGGCATATCAGCCACAACTAGCTCTTTTGGAAAATTAGCCCCAAAGTTTCCTTGGGCAGCATACATAAATATCATGCCATTGCCTTGCTCTCGGCTTCTAAGAAGGGAGCGGACGAATTCGTGGTGAGGACGATCACTCGCAGATGATGGGTATGCTTCTAGCAAATTTTCTAGCTCATCTCGACCCTCCTTGGTTTGGAAGTCATCAACAGGTACGAATGAGGTAGACATGACAGCAGCACGACCGAATGGCCCAGACTGTGAGGTCATATATTCAGTCATCGCTTTGCCCAAAGCTTCTGGATTTCCTCGGGCAAGATCATCAATAGTTTCAACCCCGTCATTGACTTCGAAGCTGGTGCCACTAATGATGTGATCCTGAAGATTCTCTCCCACGTTGGGGTTCTCAATGCGCACAGTTATCCCATGCTTACGGAGAATTTCAGGAGATCCGACACCAGAAAGTTCCAAAAGCTTAGGAGATTGGAGCGTACCAGCCGCGAGAATGACCTCTCTTGAAGCTTTTAAACTTTTAATGCTCCCCTCATGAGAGAACTCAACCCCCATTGCTATCAATGGTAGTGATTCTCCTTCTAGAATGATTCTGGTGACGGTGGCTTCAGTAAGAACGACCAAATTGGTTCGGTGAACGACAGGCTCATAGTAAGCACGCGCTGCATAGCTTCGTTGTCCAGAGTTTTGGATCAACGGAAGCAGGATTTGAGTATGGTCCAAATGCAGTACCGTCAGAGACATCACCGCTAAAGCCATAGCCAAGGTTCTTGAAAGTTTCGTTCCATACTTTTGGAAACTGATTCTCAGGAGCAGGTGGGAATGAGGCTTGAATGGGACCAGAAGACGGTATATTTGCAGAATAATTGTTTTGGAGTCCAAGGCGTTCCACATCAGCCTCCGATGGTGTGGTTAAAGTATGAACTTTGCGAACGTATGGCGCCAAAGTTTTCCAGTCCCAGCCAGAATTGCCCAAGGACGCCCATGCATCTATACCCACCTGAGATGGCATCATGAAAACAGACGAATTGATTGCACTGGACCCGCCCAGCGCTCGTCCTTGGGGAATTCCCATAATCTTGCCATCAAGTGATTCCTAAATTCAGGATTCATCAGAACGGTATCTATTAGAATAGGAAACAACTCACCTGTGGTGTAGTTACAAAATTCCAATCTGCCTCTGTTCCCAAAAGTGCGGGCCAACCAGCGGGCATGTTAACTCTAGGATCTCCGAGGTAGTTTTTACCAGACTCAAGAACCAACACATTTACTGTTGGATCCTCTGACAAACGGTTGACAACAACAAGCCCGGAAGTTCCACCTCCGATGATGATGAAGTCAAAGGCGATTGCGTTTTCAGCCATATCGAATTGTAAAAAAAAATCCTTTTCGAAAGGTCCGTGAAAGTGATGGGCGATAGAAGCAAGATTTGCAATAGTCTTGGAATCAGCGTGTTGAAGGCTTTTATAAATGCGATTGAAAGAAGAGTTCATTAAACGAGACCAAAAGAGTACCCTGGAAACTTGAACCATGTGTTTAGTGAATCGAGAGAGGCACAGTCCACGGGTACGTTAAGGGTGGCACAGCAAGGTTGGACAGCCACATATTATAGGTCGGTGAATTGCATATAAACGGAAGATAGGTATCCAATATGTGCAAAGTATCAGTGGCTACCTAACCTTCAATAAGGAATTCAATACATGCTGGCGCAGTAATTAGTGTCCTTGGCCTAGTTTTGAAACCAACGAGTGCATCCGGCTTATGAGATATCACGAATGATCTTAGCCAGAACTCTTGCGCAAAGCTCACCAGACACCGGGGAAAACTCTCTGTTGCAAGAAAAACCGCGGTGGTCTAAGAACACACCTTCAACTTTATTCCAACCACGCTATCGTAGGTCATGAGCTAGTATATGAGTATATAGTATATAAGAGGGAATAGACGAATATTAGTCTATTATGGGAAAGCTGGCTCGTATTAACAACTAAATAGCTATGAAACACGTGATTTTCATGAAAACAGTATATGATTATTGAATTTCTTATCCTATATAAGAGGGAAAAAGCTCATATTATATACCTTTCCATTCTAATCTAGCTTCCGCTTTCGGTTATATCTCGTAGATCTCTTCCTAATACGGCCATTCCTTCGAAATAGAGCTCCTTTTCATATTCTTTATTAGTAGTCGTGTTTTCGGAATAATATGTTCGTTTTCGGAAGCTAATAATGGTCGTTTTCGGAAGCTAAATACGGTCGTTTTCGTATGGTTGCTTTCGGAAGCTTATAGGCGACGATCACGTGATTGGTAATGTGATTCGATACTAGTATAGGACTTTATTCTATATATTCAAAAGATATATTATTATATATTTTATAATAAAACAATACGCAAAATACTGCCTTGGTCCCCTATGAGGATTATTGTAAGCGCTTTTGACTGGCTTGAAGCAACAGGGGTCTTGCAAAACGATCTTGACGGCCATCGGAGTTGCCAAAGATATCCTATTCTGATCAACTGCCAGTGATAGAACACGAGTATTTCAAAGAATTTGGCGCAAACGTTTACGGTATAAGCCAAGATCGATACTTTAAAAGTTGGATTTGACCAAGCAAATACATCAACCTTACATCGGCTAAATGTCCCAATTACGGGAAACGTTGTATATCATGATTCATAGTCAGAGTAAACTTCAAATCTGATACCTTCATTTATCCAGTCAAATCGTACTTGAGATTTGAGGTCTGATCGGTTCCAGCATCACAAAGCGTCGTCCTTGACTAGGATTTCCCTCATCAATCGCTTCCTGTCGGAAACTGGAATACTGCAATAATGACTATTCGGCCAAGAAATATCCATGCCTGCATTGAGAACACTTGTTTTCTTTCGCAGAATGAAAAGTAGAAGCGGGGTACAGCGGTGTAAAAACGACAAGAGCGATCTAAACGAGCAAAAGTGTGGCGTCATTGAGTCCATCTGAAAAGACTGAACACGGCTTTTTTGAGCGATGTTTTCGTTAATGGGGGCTGGTAAGTGAGTTGTATCTTAACCTAGGTACCTACTGACCCTGAGTTGTCAAACCGATGAGCAGGAGCCAAATAGGAAACCTACATTAGCAATCTTCAGTGGTGTTCATAGGTGGGAAATTAAGTAAGATGAGAGTAAGAATAGTAGGAAGGAGATGTAAAGATTTGCTGGATGGTTGTCCTAACAAAGTAGTCATATAGTTCTGGATTTTTCAAAAAGCCTACTTGGCATACGAGGAAGGAAGCCTCTGGCATTTTCCAAAATTAGTTGTATTCATGAATATCGTGAGATAGGACCAATGTCCTATTCGGGGTTGATGATAAATCACGGACAATTCACATGAGTAGGCGAATTATAAATGTGGAAGAATGGAAGATTTTGTACGTAGAGGTGCGAATTCACCGGGATTCATGCTTAAGTTGGTATGCTTTTGGGAACATAAGATGATGACTGAGACTGAAAGACAGATAAAAAATGAGAAAATGGCATGGAGCACAACAGGGTTTTCAGACTGCCTGGAGATGTAGGGTTTTGAACGTGAAGGGAGAGGCCCCCATTTGAATTCGTGTCTATAATGTTTCCAAAAGCGTTGTGAACTGGTTTGGCCCTAAAATTCCTTGAACAATTCGGAGTGGCCACTCCCCAATGCAACTTTTGGTAAACAGACCGCCCGCGAACGCCATGAAATTCTTTTCCGAACCTTCACATATTCGGATTTTTGGAGAGCGAGATCGGAACATCGTGGAGATCATAGATAGCGTATAGGATGTCCGATGGGAGAATAATCATCACATGTAGCGCTTCGTGTGATGGTCAGAGATTTGCTTAAGGATCTTCATTTATCAAAGAGCTTTTGCTATAATTCTGCAAAGCCCTTTGCTTGTGCTAACAAGCATTCCCATCCCAATGCAAAATGCCCAAACAAAACCATCCGCTTAAACCTCAGTAGTAACTCTGGCCTTGGCGTTGGTAACCTTAACACCAAGTGCCTTAGCGCGTGCAACAATCTCAACTCTCTTTCTCGATGAAACGGCGTGGGAGATCCTAATAATTTGTTAGTGCCAGTTTTGATTTCGTCCTGAAATCGTTTGAACCTACTCTGCGGCGAAGGTCTTGTTGTGCATAAGGAGAAGCTCGACGTCGGATGTGTTGTTGACGAGGAAAGCCTTGTGGCCGGATGGCATCATGTGGCGGGTCTTCTTGTTGGAACCGAAACCAATCTATATCCTCATCAGCCCTGCTCAATTGAAACCCCTGCTGTGCATTGAATGCTCTCGAGTCCCAAGCCATATTGTTCGCGAGTATCATTTCAACCACAGCCAATTTCAGTTCCACGTACCGATGGCATAACCATTTGTCCCTTGAAACGTCTTCGGACACGGTTATCAATACCCTTAGGCTTTCTCCAGCTTGCGTCGACACATTTGTAGGTATCGCTCTGATGTCTGTGGAAACGCTTGGTGCCTGTAACAAAAATGTCAATCAGCCATTATTCGAAATCTTGTCCAGCCCTTGTCATTCGCAAAACTCAGTGCCGGCCATAACCCTTCATCGTTTCCAGGCTATGCAAGTCGAATGTCGAGGATCGATGAGGGGATTAAACGTACGCTTCTTGACGATAGGAACGTGCTTCTTAGCGGAAACCATCTAGAGAATCGTCAGCATGACGGATTTGAGGTAATTGCATCTCGCCAGGAGACATGGTAATAGCAATACACACCTTGTCGTCGGGTTGTCGATTGTTTGTCGTTGGTTGATACAATCTCCAGCGAAATCTTTTTTGGTAGTCTCATAGTTTAAAGCCCACAGAAACTTAAGCGAACCTGCTTACCTGAGGCATTAAAGTGTTAGGGCTTCCATGCTGATCACGTGTTAACGACAACAATTTGCGCATAGAGCTCCTAACGATGTAAATTGTATTTAATTGTGGTTTAGGATGTGGTCATTCAAAATCTAGATTATTCGGAATTTGGCATGTATAAAAACCCAAGATGGAATACTCAATCGGATCTAGATATCAACAATCCTGCATTACATCGATAAATAACAGAATGGATGCATGCTGCAAAATGGAAACAGATCGCAGTTCTTCGAAGCAGTATACCATTTCGATTCTAGAAAATGCAACATTTAAGTAATAATGCGGAAATATGGCGCTTCATTATTGGGAATTCATTACAATGTTTGCTGGAACAAATCCTGGGACGCCATACCTTCCACGACTTCTTCTATCGCAGTCCCATTTACCGCTCTATTTCCCAAGTGGTCCACCCCAGAATGTGCTACCAGTCGGTAACTCGAATTTCATGACGCGCATAATACTAGTCTATGTCCAAAGGTTTACTGGGTAGCACATTGAGCACCTCCTTCATCATCTTCATCATCATCTTCCCACTCGCCACCAGCACGAGGGTCTCCAGAATTTGCACCGAACTAGTTTGCAAATTAGCATGTAAAGGAAATGAGAGTTAATCAATGATACTTACATCTTCAATGTCGGCATCAGAATCGTATTCCACCTCATCAATCTCCTCAGCCGTGATTGGCGGCTCAGGTTTAGGCAAGACTGATTGCAGAGTGGAGAATGTAGCAGCATCTTCTGTCCAACCATTCTGAGGAAATTCGATTTTTACAATCAGGTACAAATCACCCTTGGAGTCGCTTCTCTTCAAAGGCATACCTTCGCCCTCTATCTTTAAGATTTGCCCGGGCTCCAATACCTTCCCTTGAGGATGGTTTATCGAGATACCACGTCCGTCTAAATGTTTCAAGACCACTCTTGAAAATCCTGTGAGAGCTTCAGCTAAAGTGATGTTGAGCTCCGCAGAAAGATCATCGCCAGCTCGCTGGAAGATTTCGTGATCTTCTTCATCAAGAATGAAGACGATGTCACCGGGCGTTTGATCAGGTACCTGATCAGCCTCACCCTCCAAAACAATTCGCTCTCCGTCTCTAGCACCTCTGGGTATATATAATTCCAATGACTTTTGTTCCTTGGTGGTACGCTTTCCTTTGCACTTCTTACACTTGTCCTTCTCCCTATAGTTTGTACCAGCTCCTGAGCAAGTGTCGCACGTAACTCTTTCTTGGGTAACAAGTCCTGGTCCAACGCTTCTGAGGCCAAGGGTGACACCACTACCCTTACACCTGCCACAGGTTTCTGGCTTGGCCTTCTCCTTTCCTCCACTACCTTTGCAATGGCTGCAAATTACGTTTTTCTTGCTCGTAAACTTCACTGTCTTGCCCTTGTACAGGTCTTCGAGGGTGATTTTGTATGGCTGCTCTTCGTCCGCTCCCCTTCGTGGTTTTCGTGGGCCTCCAGGTCCCCCAAATCCAGGCGGCATACCTCCCATGCCACCCATACCTCCACCAAACATTTGCGCCAAAATATCATCCAAATCAACTCCGCCTGCTCCCATACCAGGTCGACTTCCATCAAATGCAGCCATGCCGTGAACGTCGTACATTTCCCTCTTCTCCTCATCAAAGAGAATTTCGTAGGCCTGGCTCACTGTCTTGAACTTCTCATCCGCTTCCTCTCTTTGGTCCTCCGCTACCTTGTCGGGATGATGCTGTAGCGCTGCCTATAAAAGTCAATGGGAGATCTCAATAAACTAAGTGCGGGGAATAACATACTTTGTGGTATGCTTTCTTAATCTCAGACTTTGTAGCATCTTTGCTTATACCTAGGATGGCTGTATTATGGATATTAGTATTTTGAGGTCAATGGCGTCATTTGATAAACTCGCCATAGAGATCCGTCTCCCCTGATGCGCCGTTGGTGGCCATATTGAAATTTCTCAAGAATTGATGGCGGGGAACTTTGATTGTTCAGCGAATCGTAGGATTTTGTGATTTCAAAATTGGCTGTCTTTCTATGCTTTTGAACAAACGAGAAAAACAAACCCTTAAGTAGATACAAATGTTATGTGCAAAACGACAAATAAAATTTGTACGAAGAATGAAAATGAAAGTGGTAAGGCTGAAGAGATAATGATGAAGACGGCTTTTCTATTATTTTTATCTTAGCGCCTTTCCAACTGGAAGAAGCTCGAGCCACCGAGGCCTCGGCGTATGTGGCTGAGAGTTTGTGGCTGTTGGTATTTTCCTGTCCTCCAATCAATCACAAAATCTTTTTGGTGTGCCGTCAAATATTGAACTGAATTCTTCAAGATTTACTTTTCAGTTGTAGGATCACGATTTTCACAGTGAAATAAATTTGGAGATGAGGTTTCTCTCTGTGCCAGTGACAAGAAATACTGGCCAGAGATTATGGAAGAACAATGTTTGTTCCATATGTAAGAGATATGCCTCCACCCAAACAAATCAGTTTCCTCTGTCGGTAGCCTCGACCAAACTTCGTGCTGGCGGCCCTGTCAGAACTCGGTTTGCCCCATCCCCTACTGGGAATCTGCATTTGGGTTCTATGAGAACAGCACTCTTTAATTTTCTGCTTGCAAAGGCTACTGGTGGCCAATTTCTTTTGCGGATTGAAGACACGGATACGGTAAGTCAATTATAGAAAGCCTTTGCCAATAGGATCACACTAAATTAAGAAGGATAGAACCGTCCCTGGAGCCGAAGAGCGTCTATACAGAGATCTAGAATGGGCTGGTATCCAATGGGATGAAGGTATCTTAGCTCGATATTGAATTCTTAGAATGAGTTAACTAAGAATTTTCAGGCCAAAAGTTGGTGGACCATTTGCCCCATACAGGCAGGTACGTCAATGTCTTGTAGTTTCATGATATCAGAATGTAATACTGATATCAACAGTCAGAACGAAAAGCAATGTATTGGGAACACGCTCAAACACTGGTCGAGGCAGACTTAGGCTACAGATGTTTCTGCTCATCCAAAAGACTACACGAATTACGGGTTTATCAGAGTAGCAAGGGCCTCCCACAGGCTTATGATGGAACTTGCAGACACATTCCAAAGGATCAATCTGATGAGAAGGCATCGAGGGGAGAGTCTCACGTGATTAGAATGAAAGTTCCAGAACAATGGCCAGGCTTCCAGGATGAAGTTTATGGTAAAATCAGACCAACGTTGACTCGTAGTCCCCAATCGGAATTTAAGGAATTCCAAGATCCAATTATGGTAAAATCAGATGGATTTCCAACCTATCATTTGGCAAACGTTGTGGACGATCATTTCATGAAGATCACACATGTTGTTCGAGGATCGGTACGTAACTTCCATTCTCGTGACGAATTCGAGCTAATCATAGCTTCAAGGAATGGATTCCATCAACCCATATGCATGTTGCTATGTATAAGGCGTTTGGGTGGGAGCCACCCACCTTTGCACATGTTGGCCTCCTTTTGAATAAAGAGCGAAAGAAGCTTAGCAAACGAGATGGTGCTATTGATATTAAAACCTATCGAGATGCAGGGTATTTTCCAGAAACTATAACTAACTTTGTCGCTCTTCTTGGGTGGTCACACGATCGATCCTACGATGTAATGGGTATGCAAGAACTTATAGACAATGTATACATTTCTCCTTTCCAATGCATAATGACAATCCACTAACTTAATATAGGCAAGCATGAAATATACCAGAGGTGACTCTGTGGTAACATTTGAAAAGCTTAATTTCATACAAAGAAAACACGCCGCAAGATATAAGGAATTACGACGTTCAGATGAACCTATCTTGCCTTCTCAAGATCTCCTAGAATTAGCTGCAAAGCCAATCCTCAATCGTATGAAAACTCTTCCAGAATTTGAAGACTTGATCTTCTACAACTGTGAGAACAACGATGCCGCAAAGGAAAACTACATCCTCTCTATAATTAGCGCTGGAATCCAAAACTACACACTCCCCGAGACCTTTTACTCCAACCATAAATACTTTTTCGCAGCCCCCACAACTCTCGAACTTGAATCTAGAACCCCGCCCCACAAGCTCCACTCCGCTCCCGAGGGGGTAATTTACTCTGTCCCCTCCGACTTCACCAATTCCTTCGACGCTTTATCTTCCATTTCCCTTGAAAATTGGAACGCCCCTGAATTAAAAGGTTTTACAAACCTTGTCGTCGACCAAGGAGCCATGATGAGCACTGCTGAATTTACTGCTAGCGGAAAACCATACACCGAAGATGCACAAAAAGTTATCAAGAAGAGTTGGATGAAACTCGTGCATGCGTATCTCAGGTGGGCAATTGCAGGAGGTCAGAGTGGACCGGATACGGCGGATATTATGGCGATCTTGGGGAGGGAGGAGTCCCTTAGACGGTTGGGGGTTGCGAAGGAGATTATGGAGGATCGGCTGAAGACACTTGAGAAAGCTGAAAGGGGCTCCGTTGCAGAAAATTAAAATAGTAGGTTATTACATAGATAGTATGGCAAGGGCCTCAATTGTTTGGTTAAAGGTATAAAAAGTTTGAGGATGACTAGTCACGAGTGTTGTGGCCAAAAAAAAAATCGTGGTGAGAAATGTAGAATAGATCATATTGATGCCGTGTATCATAACTTCATTCCTCCCCATTCTAAACTACTGTATCCGGTGTAGTTTTTAGACTTTAAAACGCCATCATAAACCCATGCGCCAAAGCAATGCTCACAAGAGCTTACGAAATGTCAGGTGTCTCCTAAATCCATTATTCCGCCGCTGGAACAGCTGGAACAATTTGAGCAGCAGGATCAGCTGCAGTCTTTGGCGCCGCGCCTAGCCCATTGAACAACTGCGCTTTGACCTCCCCAGCCTTCAGCCCTGTCATCTCTTCCCCAGCAATTTTGCTACTATCCTTAACAACCTTCACTAATTGTTGATCCATTCCCCTACTCAACGATGATCCGGCAGTTGTTCTTCCATTGCGACTAATACCGGAACTTGCTTGTCGGATCTTGGAGCTCAAATCAAGCATCTGCTTGCTGCTATATTCGCGGTTGGTGAACAAAGGACTCTGACTCAATGTTTGAACCCAATATTTGTTCCACAATAATTCCAAAAGATGTGAATCTAACGAACTTTTGAAATGTGAGACTTCTAGAGAGTAGTATCTGCTGCTATGTGCGCCAAAATCTTCAATCTTCGCAAGGGGGATGGTTTGATATCCATCGCCGGATCCTGCATCCGTGGGCTTGTAATTATCGGGATAGGTTCTGAATGCACCGATTTCGACTTTTCCGGCAGAGATGGTGCGATCGGGATCAATAACCACAGCCAGGAAGGGGTCTGAGAACATTTGTTGCGTGGCTTGCGTTCCAACATCGATACCACTCAACCAACATCCATAGCCTGGATGACTGTGATACCATCCCACCGCATTCTCCAATTTGCCCTGATCTCTACAGTGTTGTAAATACTCGACCATGTATTCGTTTGCCTCATCCTGAGCATTGACTCGAGTCTCTGTTCCCTCGACGGGTAGACGGAATGCATCTGTGACAATGATAGTGTCGCCTGCGATTTTTCCTTGCATCAATCCCATGACTTCGATAGAACCACCTGACCGGGCGTGCATAACCATTTTTAAGAGGGCAACAGCGGAGATCCGGACGTTTTTAAAGTGGTGAGGATCGGTTTTCCAGGGCTTGGCATTTTGAATAGCCTTTTGTTCTTCGGGGTCGTAGGTATAGAGGGCGTCGCGGTTGGGATCCACGAGTTGGACATTGTTGTCAAGCTCTGTAATTGATAAGGTCAGTTTCAGGAATGAGGTAGCGTGATAAGAGCATAGTGAGGGAGGAGGGGGGCAGGTGCAGTGGCAATGGCAATGGCAATGGCAATTGCATAGATGAAGAGAGCTTCAAGGCTAGACAGTTACTTACCCCAGGTCTTGAAAGCAGTATCCATGGTTGATGGATAAGTTTCAGTTGGAAGGAGTTTCAGTCAGAGGTATTTGGTTCTTCGTCGAGGTTGTTGTTTATGATGACTGGGAAGGCTTAAGGGTAGCCGTGTGATGTCGTTTCAAGTGATCTCTTGTCCTGATGATGTAGGGTGGAGGTTGGAGAGCTTGGATTATTTAAGGAATGTTAACTTTATTTCCTACTGTATTGCAGCCTTGTGAGCTTTGCTCGGTACTCCGATGGCGTATTCGAGGTATTCACCCTGCCTACCGTGGTAAGCTCGATCTCTTTCCTTGGTTGAATCATAATCGCACACGGCCTCTAAAAAGGCGGGGGGTCTTTTTTTAGCCATCTGCGCTAAGGAATAAATCCTTGCTTATCTAATTATATTTGATAATTTCTGTATTCCAACCAATCATATACCGCATTTGCCAATTTAATGTTTATTTCGATGAAACTATCCCTCTAGCAACAATTCTCCAGCCTCAATTTTACTAAGCGTAAATACAAACTTCCCGGTTCTACCAAACTATTTCCATTTCTTCCATGCGAATCATTTCTCGATCTTCCAGACCAACGAACCACTCAACTTTTATACAAAGCACAACTACGTACACATAAGAAGTTTGCACCCACAAGAAATCTTTGAACCTGGTAATGAGAATTGAAGAGGAAAATTCCTCAAGATTTGGTTGGTTTCGTGGTCGCAACAAGAATACCGGTAGAACGAGGGATCATCATATTGAGGAGCTGAGCTGAGCATTGTTCAATTGTTTCCAAATTCGAATTCTCCACTCTCAATACAGTTCCTCCCTCCCTCTCCACTTCTACGAGACAGGAATTCTCTCCACGGTCCACAACCCACAATCATCCATTTTACCTCATAATTGAACTTCTCCTTTCTTCAATCAGGGGCTTCCAGCCATCTCTTTTTATTCAAGCTGCTTCCCCCGCCGAAGTAAGGTGCCTTCGCATAGGAGTGGCTTGTATTACAAAATGGATACTAGCTACTTATCGTCGCAGGTCTCGACGATCATAGATCAGCTTCATGGCTTGTTCGATGAAATTGGTGTTCCGTCGCGGGAACGAGAGACTCGAGAATCAGAGGTATGTAGTGTTTACTTGGCTTGGAAAGAAGAAAGTAGTGAAACCTAACATTTTTAGTTATTCGTTGCCCTCTCCGAGACCTTACACAACCAAGTACGATTGGTCGCGGACGAGAAAAATGACTTGACAGAAGAAGCTCGCCGTATTATTACAACAATTAAGCAGATGGAAGCTTCCCTCGATGATGATAAAGATCACCATGAGTATGAGCCCGAAGACGAGGACCTCCAAATTACTTATCCCTTGATGCAATGTCTACAAGGATTAAAAGAAAAACATCTTCATATATCAAAGATACATAGAGAGAGATTTGAACAAGTCAAGAGTAAGTTTTAAGTTTTCCTTCAATTTGACACTAGGCTGTACTGACACATAGTAGAACTTGTTCAAGCTCTTGAGTCATATTCATCCCATTTAGAGCCATCTTTCATTAAAATCGAACTCCCACCCACATCTTTGAACGCGAGTATTCCTCCCACATTCGACCTTTCAAATAACTATGTTAGCGATCTCGACGATGAATTCACCCGCGTTTACGAAGAGTATACCCGCCGTGTCGCACTAGTAAAGGCTACTGCGGAAAATATCATTCAACTATGGGCTGAACTTGGCACGCCACAGGCTCAGACCGATAGCGCAATTGTTAAATACTATCGCGATGCGCCAGAGCAACTTGGTTTACACGAAGATGATATCTCCAGATTGCGCATGAAGCAAAGCAAATTGGTAGATGAGAAGAAGAGTCGAGAGAAGCGCTTGAGAGATCTACGTACTGCAGTCGAGGCTTTGTGGGCAAAGCTGGGCATCGACGAGTTTGAACAGAAACGATTTTTGAACGGCAATCGAGGGTTTGGCCTACGACAGATTAACGAATTCGAAGATGAATTATCAAGATTGAATGAGCTCAAGAGACAAAATCTACATCTATTTGTTGAGGATGCCCGATACAAATTACAAGAGCTGTGGGATGGTCTGTTCTTTTCTGAGGAAGAGATGCTCGAGTTCACTCCCGCATTCTCAGATGTCTACAGTGATGCTCTTTTGGAGGCTCACGAACAGGAAATCGGCCGTCTTGAGGTCCTTAAAGAACAACGCGCACCCACTTTAGCTCTCATCGAGGAACATCGATCACTTGTCAAAGACAGAGATGATCTTCAAGCATCATCACAAGATGCAAGTCGTTTGATGATGCGTGGGCAAAAGGGCGAAAAGCGTGATCCAACACGTTTGTTGCGTGAGGAAAAGATGAGAAAGAGAATCGCTAAAGACTTACCAAAGATTGCAGCAAAACTGAGAACTGTTCTAGAGGAGTGGGAGGAAGAATATGGCCGTCCTTTTATGGTACACGGTGAACGATACCTTGATGAATTGGAAGTTTCTGAAGCCAAATCTGCTCCAGGGCCGCGTTCAAAAACACCAGCAGGACCACCTCCAAGTACCATGAAGCCCCCTCCAAAAACTGTTGTCAAGGCTGGAACATTGGGTCGCTCTAACAGCGCACCAAGACCTGCTCCACCAAATAGATCTGGTGCCAAAACACCCACCGCAGGGGGAACAATCAGGAGACATCAATCTTCTGCCTCAGTATCCGCAGCGAGTGGTGTAAAATCACCTTCTAGGCTCCCAAATCGTATACCTTTGTCAAGTCTTAAGCTTCCCAACTCTCCAGAACGCGATCGACGAACTGGATCTATGCGTCCCGAATCAAGACAAGCGACTAGCACTATCCGGGGCAAGATGGGCCCACCACCATCAAGAGCTCCACCCCCAAAGATGCGTGAGCTATTTGAACCACCACCACCTTCGGCTCCTCCAACTCAAACATACTATCATCGCGATGAGAGCTTTAATTCTTCAACTGGCAGTGTCCGACCAGTATCTCCCGATGATGTTTTCGAAGCACCACCACCAAAGGCTAAGGAAAGACCTCAGTCGTATCAGGACTTGAGAGCTTCAATGCGATCAAATTTCGGCCAATCATTAACTTATGGATCTGCGCCACCCGCTAGCAGCCGTCAACTTTCTACTACATCTAGCTCCGCAAATACCGGCTCTGGCTCTGAGAACTGGGAAACCTATGGAGATGTATCTGAGACTGAGCCAGAAGAAGACTCAAATGAGGATTATTTCGCGAAACTTCGGGCTGCTAGAGCAAATCGATATACTCCAGATGATGAAGCTCCTCCATTCCGTGGTAGTGCTACTATAAATAGTAGTATGATGAAGAAAAAGGGTTATCCACTTTACAAAGGACCTGCTGGGCAAGTTCTTAGTAACGATCGATTGTGCACGCGAATTGTTTCTGGAAGTGAAGCTAACTGGACTGATGAAGATGCTTTTTAAGTGAACAACGTGTTAAACACAAAATGCGGTTGGCGTTCGTGGGTTTCTTCAATTGAACTATAAGTCTTTACTCTCTTGTCGTTAACGGTTTCAATTGGCCTAGACAGATTTCATTTCTTGTACTTTTTCTTCTTTCAAGCAAGCATAGGATATTTTTCTGGTACGACTGTCATGCTTCGTGTATGATTGGAACGGCCTATTTTTTCTCTTCTACTGATTTTGTCTTTCAAACATACCATCTTGTGCTTTCTTTGCAGCAAAATTCCCTTTTTGTAATAGGTCTGGGAGGGGATATGTAGGAGTAAAAGGGAGGGATGGATAAGTGAGAGATGGGTGGAATGGCCTTGGCTTGGATGGATGGGTGGGACTGGAGGATGTATCAGGCGTTTTTCTATGATTCACACATATTCTATGAGATGAGTGGATGTGGATGTGGATATCGAGGTCTTGTCATGTAGCTAAATATCAAATATGAAACGAGATATCACATGAACGTTTTCGTTTGGAATTGGTTTTGGTGTGAATGCGAATGTGAAATGTTCAGGGTTTCTTTTCTCCCCCCCTGCTGGAGAGACTTTTGCTTTTCGATACCTATGTGAATATCTCGCGTGTCAGTATTATGTATATGTATGCACTATGTATATCTGTAAGGTTATATCCATCATGTACGTATGATATTCTCCTCGAGCTCTCTTCGCCACTCTCTTTCAAGAATAGAATGATGTATGGGTTTGATTTAATTCTCTCGCTTCCTTACCGAGGTAGATAAATAGATAGGTGGGCAGGTAGGTAGGTATTCCGGGAAACTTTTCCTTGGAGAAGAGAGGAGAAAGATGTGGGTGTGAATTCTTCTGAACTCAATACCGCTTCTCCCCCTTTCTCTCCGCCTCTATATGTGATGTGATATTCAGTATTCTTTTTTTTTATTCCCTCTTGTCTTGTACTCCTGAGTTTTGAGGCCCTTGGGAGATTATGTATGTGGGATGTCTGAATTTTCATGTTTGGTGTTAGATGGTAGATGCTTAACATGCAGGTGCTTAATGCTTCTTGGAGATGAGACGTGCGATTTTGTGAGGATGGAAGATATTATAGTGCGCTAAATACTGAGGTGGTTTCAACAGTACTATTTTGTGGGTATCAAATTGCAATGGAATAGGATGTATAAATTTTCTGATGTGTTCATAACTTCCATTATAGTTCAATAATCGAATATTCAATAATGCAATAACCCCCTATTGGCATTTCCCGCATCTGGATACTAGTATCTCAATCGAATTTCCCAACTCCAGATATATACATAACCCCTCAAAAATCCAACGAACCCCTGAATTCAATCCACAAATCGCCTAAACCAAATACGGAGCCTCATCCACTTTCTTCTCATTTTTCCAGGAATCGCGGATCCATCTCCAGCTCAGAAGATACGGTGAGCATGCGCCGAGTTCCTTTCTGATTTCTCTCAGTCGCTCTTGTTTATCGTCAGAGAAGAAAATATGCGTAACGCCTTCTTCCCTGACTTTTCTTTTGATGTCGATATCATCTCCCTCCACAATCTTC